CCTATTTGCTGAAGTGTTTCTCCTATGTTTTCTTTAATAAGTTTTATTGTTTCAGAGTGCACGTGTTTTCAGCACTTAGGTTCTGCATAAGTGCATTTAGGACTTTTACCATTGGTGCACTCCCTGTTCTTTGTCAAGTCTATGTGCTCCCACAGAGAGTCATTAGGAATTACTGAATATAATAGTTAAAAGGGGCCACTTGTGATATTTGATATTCTTTGAGTTATCAAGTGTCAGCATTATGTCGAATGTGCTAGTTAACAAACCCAGCATCTCTTGAGTACCATGTTAAATGATCTGGGGGATTTTGGTACTTGTTTATGACATCACTTTTCCTTACTGACTTGGGCACAATGCTAAGTCACATGCATAAGTACCACAATCAGGGAAGGAAAAGTTTTATAGAATGTGATTCACTCTGCTTAATTTAGAATGTTTCCAAAATGTTGATCCAAAACATTGATCCCACCCATTGATAGTAACAAACAGCAAACCTGTGTATATGGATTATTCAATATCTAGGCCACGTTTTTACTTTTTTCTTATACTTCAACCATGACCTTATCAATCACACACTACTATTAGCGTATGTTTAGATATATAGAACTCCTACATTGCCTAGTGTAGAATTGGCCAGCTTTTTGCCAGTAATTTTTTAAGTGGCTATTCCACTTTTAGGCTCTATATCAGTTAAACTAAGTAGAATTATTATTTCATGTATACATAATACAGGAACAGCAATTTGTCATAGTTGTAATTTCTCATTTTCACTTCTGGGCCACTAAACTAGTAACTCAGAACATTTTTGAAGATGCCATATAACCTTCAAATATGATACTTTTCTCTTTGAAAAAAGTTTGATTCTATAAGGGTTTGATTTCACAAAAAATAATGTTAATTACAAGCTGTTTGTTTTTAATCAAGATTTTTTTTACATAAGTAGAAATTGGAAAGAACCTAGATTTCTAACAATAGAGGAATGGTAAAATAAATTATGCCTGATATATTTTATATTAGTCCGTTTTCTGTTGCTTATAACAGAGTACCTGAAATTAGGTAATTTATAAAGAAATGCAGTCTATTTCTTAACAGTTTTGGAGGCTGGGAAGCCCAAGGTCTGGGGGCATATCTGGTGAGGGTCTTCTTGGTGGCAACTCTCTACAGAGTCCTGTGGCAACAAAGGCAATCATATGGCGAGAATGGCAAGAATATTTTCATGTGCTCTTCTTATGAGGCTGCCACTTCACACCCATGATAACCCATTAATTCATTAACCGATTAGTAGTTTAATTTATTCATGAGGGCAGGGCCCTCACAATCCACTCACCTTCTAAAGGCTCCACCTTCCAACACTGCCACATTGGAGATTAATCTTCCACATGAACTTTGAAGGTGACAAACATTCAACCTATATCATATTTTTTACCGTGGAATATCATGCAGCCAAGGATTTTTAATGGTAGAAGAAAATGCATACCTATAATATTAAATGAAAAGGCAAGATATAGATCTACTTATATGGTATGGTCCCAGCTATGTTAAAATACTTATTTTTTTAAATTTATTTTTTATTAGCATATTCATTGTTACAAATCATGCTTATTCTTTATGCCACTTCTCCACTCTCCCCCTCCTCCCATTTCCTTCCCCCTTTTGACATGTCTTTTTGGTAGTTATCTTTAGGTGGTTGGATTATATGTCATTTAAATTTTTTATTCTTTTTTGTTTTTTCCTAAATTTTGCTTTTTAATACTATTTACTACATTACAGGAATAAATTATTTTAATTTCTTGTTTAATTTACCAGGGTTAATAATTTACTATCCTACATTTTTGCATTCAATTCTCAAAAACAAAGGATATTCTACATGTCACTTTAGTATTAAAGTAAATTATACTTATTAAAAAAATGGAAGCATAAAATTGCAGCCAGAACATTTCAATAATATTTTCTTATTTTGAATGGATAAATAATAAAAAGATTGGGGTTTTATATTGCAGTGATTATGAATGTCTTGAGGATCTATATTGCTTTTAATTGTATGTTTTTTAGTATGTATTTTCTTTTTTAATTTACTATTGCAGTAAAATAAACATAACATGAAATTTACCACCTGAACTATTTCTAAGCACACAGTTCAGTGGCATTAATTTCGTTCATACTGTTGTGCTACCATCACCACCATTCATCCACAGAACTCTTTCCATCTTATAAAACTGAAACTTTGTACCTGTTAAAGAATAACTCCCCATTCTCTCTTTCCCCCAGCCCCTGGCCACCACCATTCTACTTGCTATTTCTATGAGTTTGACTAATCTAGAAACGTCATATAAGTGGGATTATATAATATTTGTCCTTTTGTGATAGGCTTATTTCACTTAGTCTGATGCCTTCAAGGTATTATCCATGTTGTAGCACGTGTTAGAATTTCCTTCCTCTTTTAAGGCAGAATAATATTCCATTCTATGTGTATACTACATTTTGCCTGTCCACTCAATGTCAATGGACTCTTGAGTTGCTTCTACTTTTTGGCTATTGTGAATAGTGCTGCCATGAATTTTGGTATACGGATATCTCTTTGAGTCTCTGCTTTCAATGTTTTGGGGTATATACACCAAGAAGTGGAGTTGCTGAATCATATGATAGTTCTATTTCTAATTTTTTGAGGAATCTCCATACTATTTTCCGTAGCAGCTGCAGCATTTTACATTCCCACCAACAGTGTACAAGGGTTCCAATTTCTCGACATCCTTACCAACACTTGTTATTTTCTGTTTTTGTTTTTTTTGAGAGTAGCCATTCTAGTGAGTATGAGGTGATATTTCACTGTGGTTTTAATTTGCATTTCTCTAGTGATTTCTGATGTTGAACATCTTTTTGTGTGCTTTTTGGCCATTATTTGCCATTTGTATGACTTCTTTGGAGAAATGTCTTCTTTGCCTATTATTTATTTGGGTTGTTTGTTTTTTGTTGTTTACTTGTAGGAGTTCTTTATATATTCTGGATATTAACTCCTTATTGCATACATGATTTACAAATATTTTCTCTCATTCTGTGGATTGCCTTTTCACTCTAGTAATTGTGTCTAATTTATCTATATTTTCTTTTGTTGCCTGTACTTTTGATTTCATATCCAAGAAATCAGTGCCAAATCCAGTGTCATGAAGGCTTTTATCTATTTTGAGTTGATTTTTTAACGTGGTATAAGATAAGATTCCATCTTTGTTCTTTGGCGTGTGGATGTCCAGTTTTTCCAGCACCATTTATTGAAAAGACTGTCTTTTCTCCATCGAGTGGTCTTGGCACCCTTGTCAAAAATCATTTTACCATATATGTGAGGGTTCATTTCTGGGCTCTCTGTTCTGTTTCATTGATCTATATGTCTGTCTTTATTCCAGTACCATTCTGTTTTGATTACTGTAGGCTTGTAGTAAGTTTTGAAATCAGGAAGTATGAGACCTTTAGACTTTGTTCTTCTTTACTGTTAATTGTATTTTGAATTTTTATCAAAATTCTTGTTTGTTGTATGTACCCTATAGATCAGGCTGATTTGTATAGCTAAAAAGGAAAAAAGTTCTTAAATGCAGCTTATGTTATTTTCATGAAAGTTTTAGTTCTTTAATTTTCATTTTGGTGTGTGGATAAATAATCCTACTCTGTCATTTCAGAGTCATATCAATATGGTTACCAGAGGATTTCATTCACTCAATTCTCAAGATTGGGAAATTACATTTGGTTTAGCTGTCCTGATTTTTTTGAAATATGAACTTGTCTACAGACTGCTGGAATAGATAGTTTAGAAAGGAAATTATATATCTACCATTGATCCTATTCTACATTGTAAAATCTTATTTGCTGGCATCCTTAAGCAAGAATGGCTCTGGACTTGGAAAAAATAATCAGCAAATCTTCAAAAGTGTAAATATGGTAAAAACAGCAAAGAAGAATCACTAAGAGAACAACTGATATACTGTATATGGGAAATTTATTATTGTATCAGCTAAGATGCTGTCAGTTAAAAGAGACAGTATTTAAATCAAACTAATTTAAACAATAAAAGGAGTGTATTGGCTCAGGTAACTAAAAATAGTCCAAGACTAGGATGGGCTTTATGCCTGGTTTTATTTTGACTCTCCAGCTTAGTTTCTCTGTTTTTAATTCAGTTCTGCCTTCCTTTTTGTTGGCTTCATCAGTTCCAGGTTTGCCACATTTGTATTTGACTCTCCAGCTTAGTTTCTCTGTTTTTAATTCAGTTCTGCCTTCCTTTTTGTTGGCTTCCTCAGTTCCAGGTTTGCCACATTTGTATACTACACCACCTAGAACAAAAGTTTTTTTCTTCTGCAGTTATCAAATGAAAGTCCTTGGCTTTAATTGATTGAACCAATTTATATCACATGCCTAGTCACTGTGGTAAGGAAAATGCCATGCCCTAATTGGTTTAAGTTGGATTTTCTTCTCATCTCTGAACTAATCATGGGGCAAGGAGGTTGGGAGTACAGAGTGGGCTCTTCAGGACTAACACCTGAAGTTGGAAGGTGAGCTCAGTTCCCCCAAATTACGTGGCTGCTGTGCCACGGGGGAGGTGCAGATAGATGCTGAGGAGGAAGACCAGTCCATTATCATGGTCTTTTTATTTTTAAAAAAAAAAAAAAAAAAAAAGTTAAGAAGGAAAATCAGCAAGGCAGAAGAGACAAGGAATAAGAAAGGCAAAACAAAGATGGGGGAGTAAGCACGTCAAAAATAGTAGTGGGAATTAGAAGCAGCAGTGATAGAGTGTAGCAAGCAGCAAATTTGTGACAACACAGAAGAAGTTAATGATCAGTGAAGAAAGAAAGAAAGGCAGTGTCCACAGATACTTTGGTGCTAAAACTCTTGAAGCCTCAATCTGCTATATAAGGTATAAATATTGTATCACTTAGAATGCTTTCAGTTCCAAACAACAGGAAACACAACTCAGAGTGTCACAAACAACTGTGGTAAGGAAAATGCCATGCCCTAATTGGTTTAAGTTGGATTTTCTTCTCATCTCTGAACTAATCATGGGGCAAGGAGGTTGGGAGTACAGAGTGGGCTCTTCAGGACTAACACCTGAAGTTGGAAGGTGAGCTCAGTTCCCCCAAATTACGTGGCTGCTGTGCCACAGGGGAGGTGCAGATAGATGCTGAGGAGGAAGACCAGTCCATTATCATGGTCTTTTTATTAAAAAAAAAAAAAAAAAAAAGAAGGAAAATCAGCAAGGCAGAAGAGACAAGGAATAAGAAAGGCAAAACAAAGATGGGGGAAGTAAGCACGTCAAAAATAGTAGTGGGAATTAGAAGCAGCAGTGATGGAGTGTAGCAAGCAGCAAATTTGTGATGACAACACAGAAGAAGTTAATGATCAGTGAAGAAAGAAAGAAAGGCAGTGTCCACAGATACTTTGGTGCTAAAACTCTTGAAGCCTCAATCTGCTATATACTGTATAAATATTGTATCACTTAGAATGCTTTCAGTTCCAAACAACAGGAAACACAACTCAGAGTGTCACAAACAAGAGGATTTATTAGCTCAAATAACTAAAAAATATCCAGCCTTTAGATGCTTAGTAAAGAGGTTGGTAATGTCATCAGGCTTTGGCTTTGTTTCTCTGCAATTTTCTTAGTCTGTCTTCTATATATCTTCTTTAGTTTTAAGCTCAGACCATGGTGGTCCCATGTTGTGACTGGACTACCTTAGACCCTTATCTTGATTTTAGAGACCTGAAGTTGGAGTCTGCTTCCCTAGAACCATGTAGATTCCAAGAAAGAAATCAAAAATTTTGAGAAAGGGAGCAACAATTTATGAGAATGCAACCACGAATGTTAAAGTAGGCAAGTAGCCCCTTATTTTTTAACAGTCCATAAAAATATTAATTTACGTAATTTTACACTTTATTTATCTAGCTTTCAATAGTTATTGAGCTGCTCCTATTTGCCAGGCTCTATTCTAGGCATTAAGATTACAGTATTTCATGGAGCTAACATTCTAGTGGAAGGAGTCCTAGAATAGACAAATAAAGTTAATTTTAGGTAATTTTTTTTTCTTTTTTTAACTGGATAATGGGATGGAGTTGCTGGGAGAAGAGTCAGGAAAGGCCTCTTTAAGGAAGTGCATTTGTATCAGAACCTGAGCAATAAGAAGGATGCAAAGTTCAAGGTGAAGAGCATTACAGGTAGTGGAAATAGGAAAGGCACTGAGGTAGGAACAGTCTTGGAAAGATAGAAGAACAAAAAGAGAACCAGGATGTTTGGTGAGTAATGAATAAAAGAAGTTATGAGATGAGAGAGAGGCAGGGGCTAGGCATGGTTAGGAAAATGGATTATTTTTCTTTTAAGCAGGCATATCAACTAATATGATTCTCTGGCAGGCAAATTATATTTAGTATTACCTGTTTAAAAGGTTGTAGAAATATGTAATATATTTTAGGGAGATTTCCATTTTAAAAATCAGTTAAAATACAGGAACTCTATTTTTAAGCTTTAGTAAGCCCATTTCTGTTGAGCAGTTCTTTTTCACAAGTCACTTTTAACTGTGTAATAGAAAATTGGTAGAAGTTCTGATATACATGACCTTGACTTGTTTATGATCATAGATGTTCAAAATTATATGCACAGAACTCATTTTGGGGAACTTTAGGTACAACATATTTTAAATCCTTTAACAGTGTATTCTGTTTTCTTGTAGGCAACGCTAAGTATCATTCACAGTGTTGTTCTCTCAGTTCTTGACAAAAACCAAAGAACTAGAGAATTAGAGGAGATTTCACAACAGAAAAATGCTGCAAAAGATAATTCACTGGACACAGAGGTGGCTTATTTAATCCATGAAGGGATGTTTATTAGTGATGCATTCAGTGAGGGTGAATTAACACCTGTAGCAGTTGACACTACCTCTCAAAGAAATGCATCTCCAAACAGTGAGCCCTGCAGCAGTGATTCAGTATCTGAACCAGAATGTACTACTGATTCTTCATCCAGCAAAGAGCAGACATCATCATCTGCTACTCCAGGAGGTGTGGATATTATGTGAGTATAGTGGCTACTGCCAAATTGATGAGATTTTGAGTCATTTTATTAATGGTTTCAGTAAGATTGATTATTCAACTTATTGAAAAATCATGTAAACTTTGGTCTTGGACTTTAACAAAATATATTAATTTTATGAAACATATCTATTTTTGAAAATGTATGAGAGGAAAGGAGGTGAGCATTGAAAATAATTGAGAATTGTCTTGTTTTAAGTCTGAAAAGGACCTTTAAAGACCATTTAATTAAACGCCCCTCATTTCAGTGACCTGATACCCAGAGAACTTAGATGACTTAATGGCAGAATTTGTATTGTAACCCAGGTCAGTAATTGCTTTGGTCATTTTTCTTTCTTCCTCTATTTCACCTTTGTGTTTTAAATATAATGAAGATCTGTTTGATTCACAACTTTTTTCAAAGACATGAATTTCCATGTGGGTCACACTATCTGTGAAACGTTATTTTTTAAACTTCTTATTTTGAAATAATTTCAGATTTACAGAAAAGTTGCCAGAATAGAACAAAAAACTCATATGTCTTTTATCTAGATTCACCAGTTAACAATTTACCACATTGTCTTCTCCCTTCCTCCCCTTTTCTGTTTCTCCCTCCTGTCCTCTCTGTCTCTTTTCTTTGTTTTGGTGGCTGGCTGGCGGCTGGTACCCCGTACCCAGTATGGGATCCAAACCCATGACCTTGGTGTTANATGTGGGTCACACTATCTGTGAAACGTTATTTTTTAAACTTCTTATTTTGAAATAATTTCAAATTTACAGAAAAGTTGCCAGAATAGAACAAAAAACTCATATGTCTTTCATCTAGATTCACCAGTTAACAATTTACCACATTGTCTTCTCCCTTCCTCCCCTTTTCTCTTTCTCCCTCCTGTCCTCTCTGTCTCTTTTCTTTGTTTTGGTAGCTGGCTGGCGGCTGGTACCCCGTACCCAGTATGGGATCCAAACCCATGACCTTGGTGTTATAAGGCTATGCTGTAACCAACTGAGGGAGGCCTGCCTTTTTTTTTCTTTTTATGTCTGGCTGGTACAGGGATCTAAACAACTGAGCTAACCAACCAGCCCCTTGTCTCTTATGTTAGTGTTTTTTCTGAATCATTTGATATTAGGTTGCAGACATGATGCCCCGTTATCCCCAGATACTTTGGTGTGTATTTCCTAAATACAAGAACACTCTCCTACATAACCATAGTATACCAATTAAATACAAGAAAGCATTAATACATTATTACCATCTAACCCACAGACCCCATTCAAAGTTTACCAATTGTCCCAATAATCTCGGGTATCTAAAAAAAAAAAGGGCAAAACCAATAAAATCTTTCTGGGCCAGGAGTGTAGTTTGGATTTAGTTATTTTTAAGAATAACAAGAACTTAATACTTTTGTTCATCTTTTTTTTTTTTTCCTTTTTGTCTTTTTTCGTGTCCGGCAACGGACCGCAGCCCTCAGTGTCGCGCCCGTACC